GTCCCAGAGTATAAACCGGTCCTACATTTGGGTGATGTATTACAAATGTGTGAATGGAGAAGAGCTCCAGAGGTGACATCACTGTTTGGCGCTGATGGAGGTGGTGTTCAGGCAGAGAGATATTTAATGATGGCATTGAGCTTGAGGGTCGCTCCATCACTTTGTCTCCACAACCTCTTCTCTTTCACCACCAGCAGGGCAACTTGTTTGCTTCATTCAACTATCTGGGGACCTATTGGAAGGATTTCTGTGCAGCCTTTGTTCTTTGGTTATCCGCTGACTTTCCATTGTTACCAGCTGGTGCCATTTCAGGCAAATTTCAGACTGATCTCCATCAAATTCTGTAAAGACATCCGGTTCTCACTTCATGAATCTGTGTGATTAAGGGGATACCTCGACTTTTCCTTTAACACCGCCATGCTAAGGTTTATATTTCAGTAAAAATTCTCAACAGATATTAGATGGAATTCAATGAAGCTTGTAACAACATTTATGTCTCCCCCAAATAGTAATAGAACTTAGGTAATAGAACTTAGCAGAACTAGTAGATGAACGTTTTTGATTTGTTGAACTTTGTTTCATGACAAATGATCACAAAACAAAATGTGCTAGTAGTCTAACCCCAGAAAGTACCGCAGTAAACATGGTCAATAGGAATTATGTAAAAATATATTTTATTTACCTAAAATAAATAGTGGAGTAAATTAGTGGATGACATCATTGCTTTTCTTTTGTGTGTAACCCAGATAGCTTAGTCACCTTATTTCACTACACGAAGCCGGCACTCAATGTTTTTTACCACTTTTAAACTGAAAACCACAACAGTCAGGAAAACTACGGTATGTCATCATAATTTATGCTTAATGTGTGTCATCCCTCATCGCTACCGGATGTCTGTGTCTCTACAGTGTTCACTTCTGGTTCTGAGACGTTTGATAGATACGGGCCCTTAGTTTACCCATTCCCTGAGTCAGTATTCTATGATGGGGCTTGGAAAGTGGGCTTCAAGAGCCAGAAGCCCAAGCACCTGAGGAAATAATCATTAAGTAATTTGCGTTGTAACACATATGTCTGCATCCCGGCTTGAGCCTGTATCCTTATGCACGAGCAGATCAGAAGCAAAGACATTTGATGATACCTTTCTAGATAGAGCTAAAGATGTCAAAGCAGAAGAACTAAATCCTCCATGACCAGATGTTTGAAGATCTCCCACTTAACTCAGACAGACAATTGCCATAAGGAGAAAACTGCTAATATTGGATCTAATGCAAGCTTTGATTTGGGTAATGAATATTAACTTCCCCGCCGCAGCATACAAACAAAGAGAGGATAAGCTGGATTTATTGACTTTATTGTCTCTACATACATTCTCCTGTCCAATTCTTGTTGTTATTGTTCATTAGTTCCTCCAGTGAAGTTCAAGTTGATATTACGTCATCTGTAGTTTTTCCTATTTAATTTCCCATTGTATTGTGTTGTACCATTTTTCTCCCTTTTAGCTGAATGCTGTAAAACATAAAACACACTGGCCACTGTGGCCGTTATATTGGATGTTCTCTCTCTTAAAAGGTGAAGGAAATGTATTTCTGACTGCTCTGCAGACATGGAGCTGTGGTTGAACTTTTTACCCTAATTACTTTCCTACTAATGCTGCAGCTTGCAGGAATCACTCTGACTCCCTTCAGGCCCCCCATCCGGCCCCGATGCGGCCAACGTTTGTTGTTTATGGGGGGGGGGGAACTAGGTCTGAGCCGAGAGTGAGAGAAAAAAACCTAAACAAATAGCAAGAGGGAAAGAATGCTCAGACAGCTTTTTCTGGAGATGCAAACTTGATTGTCCATGCATGGAAAAGAGGTTCCTAAAGTATTTGAACATAATGTATAATGCTATGACAACTTGTGACAAAGTACACGTGCTATGAGACAAAGCTCCAGAACAGCTATAAATGCAAATTATGACGACAATCTTGTTAAAGTGAATCACTTCTTTTTTGATATTTAAGTTCCTGTCTGTTGAACCCCAGTGAAATTGCAACCCTGAGAAGTATTTTCCGTCCCGAGGTGGAGCATAGTGTTGTTTCAGAAGAGCCGGACTTGACTTTCCAACCCAAGGTTGTATTTGTTTCGTGTTTCCACACCATGTAATTGGCGTTCATATTTGGGGAGCTTGCACCAGTCGGAAATGTAAGGACGTCCCTCACTTGTAAAATGTACTTTATTTCCATGCTTTTTGAATTTGTCCTCGGGCTTCCATCTATGTCTTCCTCAGCCACGTGGAGAAATTGTGTGGTTTTGATCCGTGACTGTAGTTGACGTTCCTAAAATTCCTAAAATCAACCGAACATGTTCCACATAGAAGGAAGTACACAGAATGGAATGATGATGATGATTGCACAGTAGACATGCACCTTAATGACCATTGTCACTAGTTGCATAATGGAAATTAAGATGTGCTTATAAAACTCACATTTAACATTGTTTTGTCAGGAAGTTGCCCAAATCAGTGTAGCAAAGCAGTATACTGGAAAATGAGCCAAACAGCAAAGGTTCTCTGGAGATTTACTCAGCAGGAACTTCAACTCACCAATGGAAATGTCTCATTCTGAGGTTTACATCTTTTGATTTAAAATTCTCAAAATCATTCTGTATTTTTCAGGTTTCCTACAGCTATTGTGGATAAATTCAGATGACTTTGATGATCCCATGAATTTTCAAATAGCTTTAAATAGCTGTGTATTCAAATGCCTTCACCTCTCTATTTTCTATACTATATATATATATATATACATTCACTCAATTTACTCATTCTTTTTTATGACATTGTATTTTGCTTCAACAGTTCAGCATAATGGTATACATTTTGTTTTTTGTGACTTCCCTCTACTATCATTGAATATTTTGTGTGTTGTGAGTCTGGCACGGCCACTCCATTTTGATCTTAATTTCTGGAGTAGCTTCTTGTCCTATCAGAGGAAGTAAATGAGCCGAGCCTCCGTTCCTCCATCTCCCCCTTTTTGTATCCTTTCAGACCCAGGGGCCAGTTTGAGTAATAGTAATTGACACATTGATCTAATAGGGCCATCATAATAGGCCTGTTACTGAGCTGGGGAATGGTGCCCGGCGTCACCTTAACATGTGCAAGGACTGACATCCCGCCATGATCCATAATGATAATTGTGATTTAGCCTTGCTTTCAACCTACGCCCCAACGTCCCCGGCATCAGGAAATCGTATTACATCTGACCCGCATTGCTTCCATTAGAACTGGGTCATTTGTTAAAATACTGCAAAAGCAAAACAATTGAACCCTGTGCCATTTTGATTCTATAATAGTGGGTTATCATGGTCCCTTTGAATCAATTGTAGAGGCCCATTTTTCGGGATAGAGCTTTGAATTAGATTGATCGGACTCTGATAATGATGCAATCGATGATACAGCCGCCTAAAAGTAAATTATCGTTAGGTGAAATGTTTGTATTAATCTTAATGTCTGTGCTCTTGATAGGTAATGGTAGCTGTGTGGGACTTTTGACATGAGGACAGAAACACAAATCAGGGATTGTTCGAAACTTTCTTTCTATGAAACCTCGGGACGAGAGTGAGGAACACACTCGTGCGAACAGCCAAGCAGTGTCTCACACACACACAGACACACACACACACACACACACGTGGCCGTGCTGCACATGCACTTCCAGGGGGCTTTTCCTCATGTCCTCATGTTGGCTATCGTTCCAGCAGCTATTTCTTCCTAACTTGTGTGTTTCTGCTTTTGTGTGCGAAAAGTTGTGAAAGTACTGCCTGTGCACGTGTGTGTTGGTGATGGAGTCCTTGTATTGGCTGCAGCCTAGAATCAAGGTCCTGCATCTGCAGATTATTTTGTTTCCTCGTAGCACATGTTAGCAAGACAAATTGCAATTGTAGTCAGTTTATTCTACTCCAGGAAAAGTAATGCATTTCTTGCATCCACGCAATCTTATCAGCTCCAATTGGAAAAAAGGTTAATATGGGAGCCTTGGAAGAGAAATTGAAAATCAACATACCTTCTCCCTTCAGCCAATCCGACCAATCCTGCCTGTTGATCAGTTGTAAAGATTATCATAAATTCCCCTAATTTTGATTTTTGGAAAGGCTTTTCTGAAATGGACTTTTCTCCACGCTTTACCCTGGGATTTTCACCCTGTATGCGCATGTGTCCGCGTTTTAATGGGATGAGCAGACCTCTTTCCACCACGAAGCAGAAGAGGAGCCACGGTGATGCTCTGGAAGGCAGACGGTCCTTGTCACTGTGGAGTCTGTCACTGGAACATGCTGTGCTGCAGGAATATTCACCACGGCTGAGATCATCTGTGTTTTGTAGTGGAAGACAGTTTTGGAGCTCGTCATTTGAACAATGCCCAGATATCCCTTGGCGGTTTGGCAACAGCTGTCGGCTGGTTAAACGTGTTATTTCCTAATGGTGTCTCGCGCTGTCTGGAGCGCTCAGGAAGGGGCTCTCCTCATTGACCAAGTAATCGAATCAGCCTAATCTTCCTTCCTAACCCAACCTTTACTACCTAAATACAATCAATGCTGGCATGGCAGTGTTTTCATACTTTTTACAATGTAAATAGTCCTTTGTTCATTAATAATAGTCATTACACACATTTAGCACACGTTCCCCGTCCTCGAAACGTTGCAGCCCACATGGGATTGCTCCAGAAAGCGTCCGTTCTGAGACATGTGAGGGGCATGCAACACAACTCGTTGTGCACAGGCAGGCTGAACAAACTGTTGAAAGCACAACATTAAGATGCCCCACCTCAACAGCTTCTTTGCTGTGTTGATGGAATGTTACACCATGGTCCCAGACAGAATCTCAGCGATATATTCTTTTATATATGATATTTTACTGCACTAAATGAATGCTCATGTTAATGGTGAATGTTGTGTCTGTATCCTGTCCTAAAGTTGTATCTTTAGTTACTTGAGGTCTGACAACATTGGTTATTCTGGTTTCAGGACGAGCCCGCCCTACTGTTGCGTTGACCTGTATTCTCTCCGGACGGGGGAAATGGTCAAATCAATCCAGTTCAAGACGCCCATCTATGATCTCCACTGCAACAAACAGTATGTCTGATCGAAATGGTATGATGTGTACTATGTCTTTTCCTTCTAATGACGGACTGTTTTCTCCCTCTTCAAGTATTCTCGTTGTGAGCCTTCAAGAGAAGATTGCAGCATTCGACAGCTGCACCTTCACCAAGAAGTTCTTTGTCACAAGTAAGAAATGCTGTCAAGACTTGTTTTTACATCTTACTTCATATACGCAGTTGTTTAAAAGGTTTTGAAGTCATTCTGCAACCATTGTGACACATTCATTTCTTTTAGGCGTATTACACATATTTTTCTGTTGGGATTTTAGGTTCCTCTCTTGAAAGGGACGAGTCCTTTATTAATCAACAAAGGTTTTGATTTCATGTAGATTGTCATCACAAATGCACAAATCATTTTCTTTCCAGTGGAAACAAATGTAATGTCCTCAGCGTTCTCCGCTGGATGCAGCAGCACAATTAAATGGCACCAAGGCCCTGCTGCTCTCCGGTTTTGCATTGTGACTGAGCTGCTTGCAGACATGACGCGAGGTCCTCCATCTCAGCGGTTTACGACAAACCCCGCTGGCTGTACCTGCCGTGTCTGTTGCAGGAGGCTGCGAAAGAAAGGCCAGACTGCATTACAAGGCCATTGCTGTCCACTTAAGTCATTGACTGGAGTAAACTGACCTTACTGGCTGGCTTTAATGCGTCTCCTCTTTGTCTGCCCGCCTTCCCTATCAGTGTCTGAGCCACAGGAAACCAAACATGCTCAATAGTTATTAATCGTTCCTGAAATACGGGGGCCTGCTGTCCCTGTTTGGGCTCCTGAAGCAGTAAACAAAGGGTCCTGCTATGTGTGCATCTTCGCTCTGGATGAGCCGTTCTGCTGCCACACGGCCGCTCTTCCTCCGCGGAGGAAATTGTGGAGATGTTGTGTTTTTTTCATGAGCACTTAAGGATCGTCCCATGTTTGTGTTCTTGCTTTGCAATCGAGTGGTGACGATCACAGACGTTGTGTCATGGCCATAGAGAAGAGGAGCAACGCCACCCCAAATCTCTGCCATCTCGCGCTTCAGGCCAAGACCAGCTGAGCACGGCTGCAGCTGGAGAGTCACGTAGCTCAGAAGTCCCCAACCTTTTTTGCCTTTGTGTGGTTTGACCGGTTTCATGTTATAAAATATTTCACAGGCTCGTATTGAAGGTGTGGCGAATAAACGCGTTGGAATAACCGTCCGACGGGGCTGGTCGCTGCGCACAGCAAACGCTTGGGAATTGTATCATGAGGGACAAGCGCATGTAATTGGGAGAGAATTTTTCAGGTTTTTTTTTCTCTGTGGACCAGCACCACGCGGTCGGTGTTTGGGGACCCCTGACCTAACTGCTATGTGTTAAGTTTGATTTTTGGGGTTCAGCCCATGCGGGCGGGGTTTATGTGCTCTGCTGCAGCCAACCAACAGGGGTTGATGACATGTTTTTTTTCTTCACTGTTGGGGAGCTGTCATGTCGTCCATCTCCATTGACCTTCTGAGCTCGACCCACCACCGACGTCCACTGTACCACTCGGGGCAGATCCTGCTTCTGCTGCTGTGGTTGATGGGAACAGACTAAATGCTGGGCTTACTGGGCGATAAACTGTTTACAGTTTAATAATCAAAGATCTACAGGTTTCAGTTTTTTTAGTTAGTGTATGTGGATAACCCTCCCTATATCATTCACTAATACAATCCTCTTACATTTGGAGCAGCTGATTCAACCAGTTTTACTTCTGATCTAAATCTTAAAAGTGGGTGTAAACTGCCGTAAGCCAAAAACATTTAGTCTCATGTACTTTTCAACAAACAATGTTCATGCACACAGATCAGTTTGTACAACCTGTGTGAGACTGGCAACAGTTGATCTGTGATCTGTGTGATTCCAGGTGTTTTTGTACATTGCCTTAATTTACAGATTACAGCTCTGAATCTGAGAATGAGGCAGTTACTTTTATTGGTCATGGTAGTTGATAAAGTGTTTCTGATTCTGAAATGGCAGCCATAAAGGTTTACTTTGTAAACTTTAAGTACAGTCTACATTTTGAATACGTAATAAAAGGAGGCCGAGCTGCACTCACAGGGGTCTGAGTGGAGCCTTCAGAGGCCCGAACCTTGCTCCTTAGATCCCGCCCATCTTTGCACCCTCCCTCCTCTCCTCCCTCCTCTCCACCCAGGATGTCAAACACATGTTATCTCACTGCCTCGGCTCCCCTCGGCCTTGGAGAGACACAAAAGGCTTCTTTGGCATTACCAGCAGCCCTTGTGGCTTACCTCAACCCACTTTCTCCCCCGCCCTCCCTCCCTCCCCAGCGCGCCACGCTAAATTACCGTCTCCACCTCATCAGCTCCCTAAGCACTACATTATCGTGAGCTAGCCCTTTTCCCCACACCTCTACGCACTTACACTAGCTCAGTGTGTTTCTGTGTGTTTACTGTCCCTGTATCTGTCTGCATTTAAGGATGTCCATGACAGTATCGATCATTAATCCCGTCTATTTACAAGCTTGTGTTTATGGTTTCTCGCTGGATTCTGTCATGCTGCTTTTGCTTCTTAGTGACATCAAGCCCAAGTTCTTCTTTTCTTTCCTGAGTGGGAAGAAGAATAATATGTTCTTATAACGTCCAAGGCATTTTATCCGCTCATGAAGGCACAGCTTTGTTTGCCGTTTAGGGTTATTGGTTGCTATTTTTATTTCTCCTGATAGCACTCTCTCTGTGTGTGTGTGTCTGTGTCCACTGGGATTCTTGTGTCAATCAATCAGCAGAGGAGCCATCCTCAATTTATTGGGTTCCACAATATCCATTAGCTCATGCTGTGCGCACACACACACAACACACACACAGAACACACACAGACATGTCAGCCACGTTAGACTTGCATTTATCTTCCTAAACAAGAGACTATCGGCAAACACGTTAATGGTTTACAATAGTTAAGGCCTGCTCCTCCTGGACAATGCTTATGTAAAGCCCTCCATGTGTTCCTGTTTTTACTGTTGTTTGACCGTCTTTGTGTCTTTTCAGGCTGCTATCCCTGCCCCGGACCTAGTCTAAATCCAATAGCTCTGGGGAGCCGCTGGCTGGCCTACGCTGAGAACAAGGTAGACGACACACATAGACGAGGCAATAGAGATACACACAGACACACACACACACATACACAGTCATCCAAGTGCCTTATCGGAAAATGGACATATTTACAATCCAAAAAATGCATTTAATCTGCCTCTTTTATCTGTCTGGATAAACAACTCATTCCACGAAGAGTCCAAGACAGATGATAACATTTTGAAAATCAACAGATGCATATGAGTACTCTGTTCTCGTCTGTATAATGGGATTGTTAAGTACTTAGAAAACCCAGAATGTTCTATTGTGCACTCTACAATGCATTTAATGCATAATAGTGTTTTGGTGCTCGCCCACTTAAGTAATTGACAGATGGGGCCACTGTTTCTGTGACTGCCTAAAGATTTCCAGAAATAACAACATCGTCTTTTCTGAGCAGTCAGGGTAATACTGGGATGGAGCCATTTAAGTGTATTTTTTTTTTTTTCAAAGCAAAACCAATTCCCTCCAAAGAGCGGAGGAAGAGGAAAGCATTTATGATGCCTTGTCTAGTTAATTTCTCTAAATCTTGGACTCATTTGAACTCACTTTTTTTTAGTTCATCTGTCAATCATTGCCTGTGTTTGCAGCTGATCAGATGTCACCAGTCTCGCGGAGGAGCGTGTGGTGACAACGCACAGTCCTACACAGCAACAGTGATTAATGCGGCCAAAGTAAGTGAATAACAAACCTGCTAGATTACAGCGTATTCATTTTACACAACTCCAAACTAGTCTACCAAAGAACTTCAATTTGAACTACATTTTATTTAATCTCATACAGTACCGGTTAACTTAAGAAAGGAATGTGTGTCCAGACGTATATATAATCTGTTTTTGCTGTATATCTTAGCAAATACAATTTTGAGGAAAATTCGTTAAGATTGAATGTGTCACATGAGGCATGACAAATACGTATGCAGTTCGTAACCAAAAGAAATCACAGCACTTCTTATTGGCGTTCAATATTCACATCCTGCGTCATGTCTCCCTACAGAATGATTCCGTGTGTAGAAACTAATTTCCTTTTATTTAACATGTTTAAAAGGAGTTCTTGTGTTCAGACTGTGGCTGTATGTCTATTGGCCCGTCTTGAGCCTTCGCTGGGATAAAATAGCACATCATTCAGTATTTCGGGCTCTGCCTCCACCATCTGTGAATGTGCTGACATTGGATCCACCTGGCTGACTGGGGCTGAGCTTATGAGACACTTCATCAACCTGCCTATCTGTTTCTCCTGCCCTGATCTACTTCTCTCCAATGGTCTTGTGTCCCTCATCTCCATGGGGGAGTGACTCAAAGAAGGCACACTTATAGTCAACACCACCCTTTGACACCAAATGAAATTCATTCCTGGTCTGATTTAGCCGGTTGCTAACGCATGCTAATGAACTGGCTCCTCATCTCTGCGTTGGATCCCAAAGGACCTAATTGATTTACAAAGAGACCGGTTGTATTCCATCTCTTTTGTGAGGGTGAAGAGGTAGTGTGAACGAAGTCTCTTGTTAATGTTTATTTAATTTAACAACAATCAATATTAGCCAGGTTTGGCCAAACAGGCTAATATTTATCTTAAGGGGCTGTTTTGTCATCATGAGTAGCATTTGTCATTTAGAGGCTAATGGTGGTATGCATCATAAAAGCCACTGGGTATAGGTATAGGATGGAGAATGGCAAAGGTGGGGGGGGGGGGGGGGGGGGGGGGGGTGGTATTGATATGCAGACAGTCTGCTTGCCCGCCCGCTCCTCATTTAGGACCATATATCTCAATATGGATGACAAGGTATCTCCTTCTGGCTTGTGGCGCGACACGCTGGCTCTTAGTGCTGACGTCCAGAGACATGGAAAGAAAAGGCGGCGTGGTGGGGGGCAATAAAGTGTAATGGCTTTTGTTTTTAAGAAAGGTAAAAGAGAGTGCAACAGCTCCGACCAATCAGACCTCTTGTTCCATTTTTGCTCTGTTATGGTAAATATGCGCATCACATACATCCTGCTGCGCATCACTCCTGGGTGAGCGGTTGAGAAAGACCTTTCACATAAATGAGGTTGTAATTTGTTTAGATGGCGACATCAGGCCCTGTGTGTCTGTGTGTGTTAAAGTGTTTTTTGTCAGACATGGTCTGCCCCCCCCTTCCCACTGGTGGATCAATAGCCCCTGTTTGGACTACCACTAAGAACTCCACAACTGCAGTGATTAGAAAACACATTAGTGTTGATCAATTAGGAGCCAAACGCCTCTCTTAATAATTGATGGCTCTTCTGGCATTTTACAAACACAGACACACCGGCATCTTCACACGCACACACACACATACGCACACATACAGGCAGACACTGCAAGTGTGCGTGTCCGAATAGCCAAGAGAGACAGTGGGTGATCTTCAGACCCAACAAACGCAAGGCGCCATGCTGTATTGACAGGGCCGCCTAGTCTGAATGCCTGATTAGGCTCTCCGGGGCCCCTTTGGCGCTTACACACACGCAGACACACAGTCACACGGTTTGGACTCCATTAGGCGAAGACAGTGTAGTAGGTGAGATAGACTCCACTTAAGCAGCACTATCCACTTCCCTCAATCGAGCCACAGAGGTGTGTTTGAGGCAGACACCCTGGCTGGGCCTTAAGCGGACACAGAGGAGCCTCACGCACGCACACACACACAAACAGGCAGACACTCACACTGCGGCCAGTTTTTTCAGGAAGCATCTAGTGAACACGAGGCCTGCGCACACACACACGGGCACAGTATGCATCTTTATAGCTCATAAAAGCTTAATGCTCAATGAACTGGAAAATTCTGTAGATTTCATACCTTATATGAATTTAACGCACTGATATCCTCTGTTTTCCTACCAGACCTTGAAGACAGGCCTGACCATGGTGGGTAAAGTGGTCACCCAGTTAGCCGGCACACTTCCAGCAGGCCCTCCGGATGAGGAGGGAACACCACACAGCGCCAGTCGCCGTAGCCCCCACAACCCAGGCGTGGTGACCATCATCGACACGCACAGTGTTGGCGAAGGACAGGTCGGTCCAGTTGTTCTGCTTTGGTTTGGTTTGGTGCCATTAATGTTTTACTAAATTCTTTACAAACTCTCACACACCTCTCATGTGCCGGGTAATCCCAGTCTCATTTATCTTGTGGTATTTCCCAGACACATGCATTCCAAAATCTGAATAATTAGAATTAATGCTTCTGTGTGTAGAATGTATAGAAAGGTTCTGTCACTGATGCAATTAGTTAAACTGAGTTTTGTTCCATTATTCAAGTTAACACCTTTCCATCATACGATATTGAGTGAAGCATTCCTTTAATTTCTCTAATTCTTAAATGCGGATATTATTGGAAAGGTTCTGGGAACCAATGAGGGGAAAAGTGTTCTTCCATGTTTTCCTCCTTAGTTGTCAAATTAAATATAACCATTGCAGACCTGCGGGTGTCGTTGTGAAATAAACTCTTCTGCAACACACATTGGAAATGTAAAACATCATGTCAACAAACTTAATTCTACTCAATTCGATCACGGTTTAGTCTGTAGTTAATCATATTTTTTAACATCTCTGATCGCCCAGAGTACTAAGAACATGTACCGACCAACTAGGTCAATGTTGATATTTTCCACACACCACTATCACAGGAGAGAGGCCACACCTTCTTCAAAACCACCGTCCCAGTGCGTAAAAGCTGACATGGGCATCTCCAATGGGTTTAAAAAAAAGGCAGCTTAAGTTATTTCATTGGATCCGGTCTCTGAACGTCACAAACTGGCATGGGACGTGGCTCCAATTTGTTCCTGGCTCTTAGCCTCTCTCCCTTGTCATCTGTGACCCAGGTAAACATGACTTTGGCCTCTGCGGCTTGGTGGGAGAATTCTCTGGCTCGGAAACACTTGGGTCCATTCAGCTAACCCTGCACAAGTCACTGAAAGGTGTGACTTTGATTTGCTGCATATTTTAACAGCCAAGCTTTTAGCCACAGCACTGGTAGGAGAGCCGCTCTGTAAACAGTCAGCTGTTGGTCTAGAAGAGGCTCAAGGCTGAGCGAGTCAAATGAGGTCTTAATGTTCAATTTAGCCATTTTCACAGGATATTTAGGGGATAATAAAACATTTTATAGCCACGTACATCATTTTCCATTTATTTCACTAATATAGCGTTTTCATAAGAAGAGGACCTGGTGGTTCGAGTCCTGGCTGCCCCATGTTCCATGTCGAAGTGTCCCTGAGCAAGACACAAGCCCTTCCTCACCTCCTCCATCGCCACTGCAGCATGTCAGTAGTCCTGCTCAGGTGGGGATTGGCTGTAATCTGACATCAATCAGGATCAAAACCTCACGTTTCCCCCCCCCAACTACATACTTGATACTACATACTCATCATCCGCCCGCTGCAGGGCCTCTTAGGTCCCCTTAACAATTCCATACATTCAGCCCTGCACAACTGTTCACTTTAAATGAACACTTATTCAACATTGCCTTCAATTATTTGTCCACGTATTGTACATTTTACCATTTTTATTTTGAATGACGTCTTCATGCTATTGTGTTTATTTGTATACAGCAGTCACCAAGTGAGATCCATTGTTTGTGCAAACCTACTCCTGATTCTGGTAAACATGGGCCTGATCGTGATCGTGGTCTGCTACCATGCCGGTCTCCCTCAACAGAATCTCCCTTTTACATGTAAAGAAATGCTAAAAGCCTCGACCCCCTTTACCGTGATTAATCACACTGCAGGAGCTGTCACACTTTTAATGAGGCGTGTTTGCATACATAGTACAGTAAGTCAGTGATGCCGCCACCACACACACATTTACCCCCCCCCCCCGCAGCCGGGGTCTTGTCTCATAAGCTGGACCTAAGCCTTCAGGAGCAGGCCTGCACTCCGTCACCAGACAACACACTGTAACCGTACACGGGCCATAAACACTGACTAGGCCTGGCCAGCAGGGAGGGGAGAGCGAGGAGCGCAGGAGAAACGGACCCTCAATGGGGAGGGGTTGGGAGCAGGGTGGTGCAGTACAGAGTGAATCATGATGGGTTGGGGGTGGGGGGGGTTATTCTTTGGTGAAAAGGCAGGTAAATGATAGACACGGGTTCCCGTGTCAGTCAAGGATATTCCAGCGTCTTTCAGGCTTTGAGAAGCGTTATTTGGAGCGGTAGCCTCATAACCCTCTCTCCCCTCGCTCGCTTCTCTGGGGGACACTCTGGTTTCAAAGGGCTCCAGCAGGATTCCCTCACAGAACAACACTGTCTGCCTGGATCGTAATAAAAGGGATCTGCTTCCTGTCTCCCGCCTCTTTCTTTCTTTGTATCCCCCCCTGCTTACTTTCTTGCTCGCGGTCTGAGGCAAAAGCCCTTTACTTTTTCCAAGTTGGTCCTTGTTTGGACTAGTTTCTATTTGAATTGTTCAGGCAGGTCCCCTGACATCGTTAATGCAACACTGGGGCCAAATGTGTGTACGCTCGCTCGCTCTCATGCACATGCACTTGTGCACAAAGTGGCCCCATGTCTGGTCTTATTTCTAATCTCTCTTCGTGACTAAAGGGATTTTCTGCCAGCTCCTGGTCTCAGCTCAGCCTTTGTTAGATCTGTCCAAGTCTCCAACAGACCCTTTACGGAGATTTAGGAGCGGCCTGAAGTTGTGCAAAGTGACATATAGCTTCATTTTCTTAGGCAGCTTTCAGAAGTAGCAAGCCAAACCCGGATTTGACGCCAGTTGCTGGCTGTTTACGGGAAAAGCTTGCCGTTGTAGTGGAGAGTGGTCGAAGCCACATGTGAAAAGGCACATTATTGCCAAAGTCAATTTGGCCCATATTCTCGTCTGTTGTTGGGCCATACGCCGTCCACACTGGACTCCGTGCAGCCTCTGACTGAGGCACCAACGCTGATCCATTACAGTCGGGACTCGGTGATTCATCATTTTGAACAACAGTCGTTATGTCTTATTTTATTGCCAATCAGGTAATATGCTAATTATTTTCTATCCACAAGAGGGCAATAACACATTCAGAAAGGAGCTGGACCCCCAGCTACTTCACCACGGTCTGATGTCAAAGAACACTGCTGAGTGTGGACCTAACCAACATGTGAAGAGAAATCCTTGAGCGAGGGAAAGTCCCGCTATGGGTTCAATGTTCTTATTGTTGGAAAAAGATTCTGAGTTTCTGTGTGTGTGTGTGTGTGTGTGTGTGTGTCCTCCAGGTCTTGGTGAGTGAGGACTCGGACGGAGAAGGAGTGGTGGCTCACTTCCCAGCTCATGACAAACCCATATCCTGTATGCAATTCAACCCCAGTGGTAAGACACACTTTTACTTCCACACGCGCACACATTCATTTTTGAGGAAAGAGCTGGAGTGCTAAATGCAAGTTGGGTAGACTTCGAGGCAGAAGACAGATCTCGCTTCCATCCAAGTGTAACGTGGTGTGTGATTGGCTCACGTGACGCCTCCTCGGGCCAATTCTATTCATAGTGTGTGCATTCATTTTGGATTATGCATTATGTACATGTGTTTAATTGTAGTTTCCCACACCAACCCTAAGTGGTGAAACATATATCTCCTTCCAACCTCTCTCAAAAAAAACAAACACGATTCCATGCCTACAAAATCAAAAGCGCTGGACCGTTGACGGACCCTGGTCCGAGCGACTCATGCCAGGCTACGATTGGCCACTGCATTGATGGGGAGGGGCTTAGCAAAGAGTCTCTTGCAAGGTTTTCTTCACCCATTCATTTATTTTAAACTGGGGCCCGTACAGTGTCATTAAATAGGCATAGCTGTTGTTTGTTGTAAAAACTATTAGATATTGTTTAGATGTACTTTTTCTGTAACCTTCCTCAAAGTGATTGAGTGTACTGAAATCAAATTTTCTACTCCTTTCTCACCATAGCATTTCAGTCTGGCATCTCCTTTTCCACTCTCTTAGCAATACTGACCCTGAACATGACGAGACAGTAGGTGCTTTGTAAGTGTGAACAGGCTACCTCGTGTGTGTGTGTGTGTGTGTGTGTGTGTGTGTGTGTGTGTGTGTGTGTGTGTGTGTGTGTGTGTGTGTGTGTGTGTGTGTGAGAGAGAAAGAGAGAGAATGCGCAGTTAATAAAGAAGTCGCTGAGAGATGACTCACCCCATGACCTCCAAGCCCCAAGAATCCTTCACTAACCAAGACTTCTGACTAAACTCAGCGGGTCCGTCTGAGCAGGATTTAGGATGATATTGCAGACAAAGGGAGACGGGACACGGTTGTTGACGGCCCAGTTACTCCCCCCTTCAACTCACCAGAAATCACATGAAGAACACAACGTAGCTCAGTTTGGCTAATTGGACAATTACTTGCCGCCGTGGGTCGGGATGGGCGGTCATAGTTTGTTTGTTTTTGAAACTTTCATTCGGAAAGATGACAAAAAGATGACTAGGGTGTGTAAACAACAAATATAGAATCTGGGATTACACCACACACTTCCTTCTCTGCTAAATTAGGGATTAATCTAATATACCTTTACTCTGAAAAGGGATTAACGCTCTGAATCTGGGTCTTGGGAACCCGGAGGAGCGACCTGCTTGCAGATCTGAGGGTGTGTGTGGAAGTTTTGGGGGTGTCCATGAGTTGTAGGAACATCCAGGGTGACAAAAGGAGCATGTAAAGCTGAATATGTGTTGCACAGTCCAGTCAGTACACACTTGAAACGTGCAGTGAAATGTGTCTTAACAAACCGTTTAGTGTGACATGAACACTAACGCACGAGTAACCAGCAATGTGGAGGCTCGAATGCCACCGTGCTTCAAGACCGGCTGCTTGACATTTCTATGCTCAGCTTTATTTCAATATTTTAATGTGTTTGGTGGTGTCGTCGGTGATATTCTGATTCTGACCTTTTTCTCCTTAAACATCAAAGATTAGACATGGTAGTAGGTGTTAGTGTCGCTATTGAATCCCTGTGAATCTTTTCCAAACACACATTCTGACCCATTTACTGTGAGCTAAAGATCAAATGATTGTTAAAACGACAGAAAGCACAGATGTGTCCTGTTTTTGTCCATTTCATTCAGGACCACTGCAGAAACTCCTCTTAACACTGTTGTAACTCAGGACTCCTTTCATCAGTGTTTGTTCTTTTATTCATTTTCATTTCTGAGCGGCCTGCTGTGGATTGTCCCATAATTACAGGCCTCTTAATTTGATCAGAGCCAAAATCCTAAGTGACGTGTTCATTGGTCTGACTCGAAAGTGAACTCTTTCCAAGGATTTAGGGGAAGTGGCTTTTACTGACCTACCTTGCTGGCCCTTGGAGTGCTCTTTGCGGTCGCGCTCAACATGGCAGAAACAAGAAAGATAGATTTAGCAGGAAACAATGATATGACTCAAGCAGAGCACGGAAAGTCCTGAAGTCTTGGCCGGGAAGAGTTATGTAAGAAACCCCAGTGGCTTGTGTGTTTTGGAGGATCTACAGAGTGCGGTGCAGTGGCCGCCGGCTCTTGGTGTGCCGGCTGGCGCTTTGTGGCCCTTCGGTCGATCCGTGGATCTATTCCTAGTGGTGTAATTAGAGGTTCGCAGATGAAGTGCAGTGGCAAGGCGCTCTCTTTAACAGCTGCAATGTGTGTGTGCTTGTTTTCTTTCACGTCTCGTCCCCTTTGCCCGTCCTTAACGATCCTTGACTTGATTATTAGGTACGATGCCAAGGTGGAAATAATCTCATGTTTTGATGTCAAAGATATAGTCCAGGAACTTGTGTAATCTTTGTGCATTACTTTGGAGTGTAACTTGCACTAGATGGAGTAATTGATCCAACAACAGTGCAGGGATGAAGTGTTAGGAGAAGTGTTCGGACTATTTATAATTTTGAAGTAGAAAACTGTTTTAAAGTTTAAAAAAACGTAATAAAATAAAAGCAAATGTAAAGGAATCTAATCTAAATCTGTAATCTAAATAAAGGAAAAATGTTAAGAGTATTACAGTATTAAAAATAACTGCCAATGTCAGTTCTAACGTGTGCGTGTATGTATGTATGTGTATATATAGAAGAAAGGGGATTTAAGTGACTTTGAACGTGGATGGTTGTTGGTGCCAGACGGGCTGGTCTGGAGGGGGCTGGAGTATTTCACAAACTAAATCTACTGGGATTATCACCACAACCATCTCTAGGGTTTACAGAGAATGGTCTGAAAAATAGAAAATATCCAGTGTGCAGCAGGTGTGTGGGCAAAAATGCCTTGTCGATGTCAGAGGAGAATGGGGAAACTGGTTTGAGATGATAGAAAGGCAACAGTAATTTAATTTATTTCCGCTGCGACTTTCGGATGGTTGGGTCAGAATTGGGCTTAGACAACATGAAAGCATGGATCCATCCTGCCTTGTATCAACGGTCCAGGCAGGTGGTGGTGTAATGTTTGTTTTGGCACACTTTTAGCCCCTTTCAACCAATTAAGTATACTTTAAATGCTGCAGGCTACCTGAGTATGGTTGCTGACCATGTTCATCTCTTTATGACCACAGTGTACCATCTTCTGATGGCTACTTCCAGCAGGATGATGCACCATGTCACAAAGCTCATATCATCTCAAACTGTTCGGGCCTTCTGTCTTTAAACTAGATGCAGTATACCTCCACTTATGCTGGGACGAGCGTCTCACCAAACACAGCACACAAAGACAGAAGTCATTTTTTGTGCACCCGTTCAAATGTCCTGAATCTGGAAGTAGTGAAAACGCCATCAAAGCCGGCAGATGAATGAAGATAGCCCTGGTTCAGCACCAGGACGCTCTTTTGAATATCCTGGCCCACCAAGCCTGAACGTTGAGGCAGCTGTGCCGCGAAGGCCGCACTCTGTGGTGTAATAACTCTCTCTCCACCCGACTGATGTGTGAAAGAAAGCAGTCCGTTGCCGGAAAAAAAAACCTGGACCCACTTGCACATGTTGAACACGAGGGAAATTCCCACATGCACACGCAGGCGTCTTCGCTCGGCCACACAGTTGTAGCCACACATTTAGCACGGACTGAGTTGTGTCTTCACACCAAGATAGTAATTAGCCCTCACACTGTGCACTGTGATGTGATTTACTGCGGCCACTCTGCAGGGCTCTTAGTATTTAGACTCTGGGTTGCACTTCCTGTTCTGGATCCTGCTCACACTGCTGTGCTGTTGGGTCAGCAGCGATCACAAGTTGTTAGTCACAGTCTTCACAGTGGAAGCATTTGTCAAAGCCATGGTTTATATATCAACTGACACAAGGACTGATCAGTTACTTAGTCCAGGAGGCATTTAGTGTATTAATTGAGCAGAACAGGAATATTTTCTACATAAAGATTTGTGTGTGTGTGTGTGTGTGTGTGTGTGTGTGTGTGTGTGTGTGTGTGTGTGTACGTGCATTGTAATCTTCTCTCTGTTCTGTTGACACGGCTGGCCCGACCGTGCACAGCATCCTTCAAGCGGCGGTCTCAGAAGATCAACCAGCTCAATCATTGCCATTTTGAGGCAATAGACGGACTCCTAATTTCTCCCACTTTGAGCACATGTAAACCATGTATTGGACATTCATATTTTTGCCTCCAACAATAACACGGTTGATTTCATATCGCTCTGCAGTACAGAGAAGAGGGCAGGAAGGAAGTGACCTTAAGAACTCTCTAGGCGCGCAGCTACAATTCTTTGGTATAATGCTTCAATTATTATTTGTTGTTGAATCTGAACGTTCCAGATATAGGTAGAGATTGTTTTATTGACACATTTTAGTCATATTGGTGTTAGTTGCATTGAATGAACTTGTTCACTACAATCCACCTGTTAACTAAAAACTATTCAACTCCTGATGAGAGCTTGACTCAGCACGACACACTAGACACCTCAGCGGTGTGGAGGCATCCACAGTCCACGCAGCGGGGACCTTTTTAACGTCCGTGTTTAGGTGGGTGGCTCTGTGGGGACGAGGGAAACTCTCTCCTGCAAAGCACTCTGAGGCAGAGCTGGGCTGAATATCCTGATTCACATAGACCAATTAAACGTTTCTATTCTTACTGTGTTTTGTAGTAGGCTACTACTACACTCTTGGTACTACTGATTCCTTGCAGAGACACACATCCGTACCTCTGTCTTAATAAATAGTATGGCAGTATAGATTCAATCAAATTAACCTCGCAAATGTGTTGGAGACCAAATATAACGTGTTTGCAAATTTTATCCAAACAAAACAAAAGCAATTAACTCGCTAAAGCCACTGTGCTTCTCCACACTTCTACGCATGACCCCAAATTACACAAATACATTCATGCTCTCCCACACCGGTTGTCTATTGTCACACACACACAGCTCTCTTCCTGCATTGTTTCCTTTTGACCTGAGAAATCTTGCGTTTGGCCAGTGGCTGTGCACGTTTGAAGGGATTTAATTTGTTAACAGAACCGAGCGAAACCCTGAGAAGTAAGAGACCATGTAAATGCAAGGGGCTTACGTCTCCAGCCTCAATGTCTGCCAGTTTGCTCAGAGAAGGGATTAAGTGCTGATCACAGTCCTGCATTCTTCATCAGGAGATTGTGCACAGCGGCGATTTGTTTTGGGGATTTTTCAACCACGGCATCAAAAGAGGCCTGGTGTTAAAGTTGTCTCTAAGCTGCTGTGAGAACATGCTTCTTCCACACTGGACAGCCACAGGAAGAAAACAAAGCAAAGACCGGGAAGCACTGGGATTTTGGATTAGTGGCAGTAAATTGGGCTTGTGTCTCTGGTGGAGGAGCTCTTGCAGGTGAGGTTGGAACGGCGGCTTCCTTTAGTTGTGCATCCTGTTCGTACCCACTGGACGGCAAATAAAAAATCTCTTTCAAACGAATGCAGCAGGAAGTGTGCAAATATGTAAATGCACCATAAAACAGACTTAACTTTAACCAACTGTGTTTTCCACTTAAGGTGATGAAAGAACAAGCCTGAAGCTCTGCCTTTGGAGCCGTCACGCTTCGGGAACTTGACCGCCTCGGTGCCGGCCCCATGTGTGGCGGCTGACCTTTAAAGTCTGCCCCGTTTCGCGCTGTTTCAAAGAGATGGTGTTGCAGCATAGTAATATCAAACTAACGGCAGCTTCTCAGCTAGGTTAGACACACACCTCTTTTCATATCTATTAATATCTAAGCGCCTACAGGTGGTCAGTCCGTGAAGCGCGTAGAAAAAGCCAACCCTGCGTTTCAGCCCTCTGTACATCAAATGAAGCGTAAGCACCTTTTCGCCTCTTCTCCTCTGCTGTTCTCTCTACCTTCACACTCTCTCCATCCCTCCCTTCCCCTGGGGGGGCTCCTTTCCTGTCTGTGTACTTTTCTTCCCCTGAAGGAAGACTGGATGAGTTTTAACGGATTTGCAAGATTTGTTTTTGAGAATGTTGTAAAACCGGGGAAGATGTCAGCATGCCATGTGTACCCTCTGCTGTGAAGTTCATTTTGACTATTGACTATTGCCTACTCCAGTTTAACAATGAGCTATAAGAGTGAGTCACAATATTAAACAACACGCATGATGGACCTTTACCCAGCATGCATAGCCAAGGATAGGTCATTCCTAAAATAACTTCTTAGTTTTAGATGATACGATTCCTCCGCTTGTCGGCGCGGACGAGGAATGAGTCGATCAGGCACTTGTTGGTCTGGAAACTCTCTGACACGACATAAGACTAAGTGACACTAAAACCTTTAGTTATAAACCAGAAAAATCGAGGTAAAAGTGAAGCAGTTTGTGCCAGGGTTAGGGTTAGGGTTCCTGAAGTGAATGATGTGTAATTAGTCCGTCTTCCATCAGATGTGGTTGGCACTGAATGTCCCTAATCCCTACCCTGCTGTCCGGTGGGAATACAACTGCTCATATATTAGCGTGGTGTGGTGGTGAGAGGATTAGCAGGCCGCTGTCCACCCTCCTTCAATTAGCAATGGAGCCAGTAGCCACATTAGCATTGGAGAGAACAGACGGCCATTCATCACTTATGTAACTATCCGATTATTGTTGATTATTGAGTTTAAAGGCCGAACGCTTCTCTCCACTGAGAAAAGACTTGACTAACTTCAACCAATACTAATAATCAGTTTACGGGTGTAGTAGCGGGCCGGTGTTGATTGCAAATGGCATGGCAATTCTGGCATTTTGGTTTAGCTCACAGTTTACTTGTGTACGCAGAATGCAGAGTGGATCTGTAATGTATATGTGTAGCATATGTGTGAGTACACAGGCTCGGAGTCCGGCCTGTTCCCCCCGAAGAGGCAGCAATGGAGACAAAGCCTCGTCTTTCATTGGTGCACCGGGTTCATTTGTTCTGAAGTTTATGCACCCTTGTAACAGTAAGTCCCCCAAGTACTCCATCTTGTAAGCTTTATGCTCTCCACATGGTTATAATTTGAGATTTTCGTGATTTTCAAAGCTTTTTTTCAAGCCTAGTGTTGTTAATTAAAAAGTGGACTAGTTTTGTTGTGGCCTCTTGTGTTGCCAAGTAGGGAAGTGACCGCCCTCTTTGTTGCTCTCTCTGTTTCTCTGTTTCTCTCTCTCCTACTCCATTTCTCTCTCCCGTCTGCCTTTGTCAAGAATAAAGCTAGCCCAACCACTTAAATGAATGTAAATGAAACATCCTCCCACTATTAATGCGATTGAGCAGATGTTTTGTGTTGGTCAGAGATGGGACACTAAAGCCTGCAGCAAAACAAAACAAAAAGATTTTTGGAAAAAAAAGAGTAAAAGAAGGCAAAACCAGATATTTATGGATATGATTATATCACTTCTCTCATGTCCCATACGGACTCATGTTTCGCACACATGGCAAATTAGAGGTCATCCCTTCCAGTTTAGCGCATGTCTAAGTGCGTGTGCCAGCGATTTTTGTACTAAAACATCGTAAATAACAGTGTAACCCCCGGGACAAGGTGTTATAAATAGGACGTGTCAAACCCCGCTCCGGCCAGCCTCTGGTTTCCCTGAAACCCTCTCTTTTCACCCGCGGGCGGCTCAGCTACTTTTTAATTTGGCCGTCCTGTGGGCTAACCGACCGACGCCTCTCGGCGAGGGCCTCTGTATTTCAACAAGGCCACCAAAGCCCCAGAGCTCGGGCACCCGCGCTCACAAGGCTCTCCAGCTTTTTCTGAGCTGTTACTTTTTTGGAGCCCAGACTCAACCATCAGCAGAAGAGAAGCGCCGGCCCCCGCCAGAACGCGGCGGCCAAGTCCCATCCGTCAGAAACCCAGGGGCCAGACTCTCCAGCCGCTGGGTGGGCGGGGCCCGGCCAAAACAGAGAGAGCAGGAAGAAAGGAAGAAAGAGTGGAGTGTGGGGGAGAGAGGGTTCAAGAGCGAGAGGAAGCTCCCAGATAAACAGACCGCAGCGCCTCAACTCCTAATCACCCTGCGCTTCCGTTTCCAGACTCTATAATTAGAAGGGCCCCGTCCCTTTTTTCTCTGTATTCCCAGTTGACGCAAATGCTTCTTGTGGCTTGGCACCTCGTTTGGGGCGTGGGTTTTCAAGATTTTACAGGCCTCGGGGCACTCTGGGCGCTGTGATACAGCATGAATAGCTAACCACTGTCTTAATGCACACTTCACTTGGCCTCCACCTATGATAATCTGCGTGACCCCCTCCCTCAACCACTGTGTACCTCCCTAATTCAACCTCTCCATCGTCTTTAAATAGAACTTTTTGTCGGTCAAACACTCGTCCAAAAAAAAGAAAACCTCAACTGTGAATAAACGTGCAAAATGTTGCACTTCTCCACTGTTTTCCATCTTCCTTGCACGTGTTGCTGAACACTTTTAATCTCATGCCATTGCAGCCTCCTCTTTTCACATTTGACATGCCACCCAATAAAGCCCGGCCACTAATTAAAACCTACTGCAGCCTCCACAGAAAAGATTCCAGGGGAAGAAATGTAGAGGAAAATGACTAATTTCTTTAATATCATCTATGTCTGGCAGTCATCAAACAGACAGAGGTTTGGACATTTTTTTAATCTTACACTCTGCATCACTGATGGGTTTCCAACATTTTGAGTTACTACCCAATCTACGGGTTTGTTTGTAACATCTAAAAGGGCTTCTGGGATCGGTTTTGGGTTGCACTTGAAAAGCAGTACCGCGTTTTTCCAAAACCGAACCAGTTTAGATCTGGGTTTGTTCTGGTGTGGTTTGTTGAGCATGTTGTTTATGGTGAGGGCCTATAATTTCTGGAGTTTGATGAGCTTCAAATAAAACCGGACCAAATGAATGGGCCTGTCACTGAGGGTTACACTGTGGGGGTGAATCTCGGCATCCGCACACACACACACACATCAATGACAATACGCGGACGTATGAAAACATGCATTTTCTCTTTTACAGACACATATCATCTTGTCTGTCTTTGAGGAATTACACGACTCGATCCATGCTTTCAACCCGACCGCACTCTTGTGCCATGTTTACCATCCATGTCGTCTGGCATGTGTTCTGCACAGTTGGGAGTGTCGGCTCCTTTTGTGTGAGCCGCCGGAGAGTACTGCGGTTTAGATATTGTGGTTTGTGTCAGATTTCCAGTAGAGCGACTCCAAACACAATGGCACAATTAAAAGACTTTGTTTTCTCTAAACTCGACATGAGGAAACGTGTCATTATATTCCAACTCAAGGAGCAAACTTAATTTGTAAAAGATAATTTGCTGATTTTACATTTATATTTCCTTACAATTTTGAGAAACTTTAATGGAATCTAAAACTGTCTTTATTCAATATGATTTTAGTTCAGCGATTTAGCAAAACACTCGAAAGATTATCAGATGGCGAATTCTAAAATCGCCTGGTCCAAAATTTCCCATAATGCCACTCAAGAGCATTTTTTATCACAACCTCCTTGGCTAATAAATGGGCACATCTTTCAAACTTTTTAGAAAGCTGCCGATTCTTTTGGGGACGGGCAAGATCTAACATTATCTCTGTTCATCTGGTTCTTGGCACCACATTTTTGAACCACAAATACTAAATGAATCATGCAATACAGACTCAAACCATAATCTGATTCTAAGCACAGTAGACACAAATTAGACAACATGCACAGTAACAGATATTATGTGTGATGAACAGTTTATTTTGTCAATTTCTAATGTGGATGATGCTATGCTTTTTGTAGGAATGCTGCTGGTGACTGCTGACTCTCTGGGCCACGACTTTCACGTCTTCCAGATTCTCACGCACCCATGGGCGTCCTCACAGAGCGCTGTTCACCATCTCTACACCCTCCATCGGGGGGAGACTGAGGCCAAGGTCAGGATCACATGCATGAATACTACTCTACTACACAAGTTGAAGTCACTCGTAGAAACCAGTCATTTTTTCCTGCAAACAAGTTGCGGTAGACAATATGTTGTCAGATAACAGCCTCACAACCTCGGACCGTGGCCGAAATAAAGAAAAAATGGTCTGACATCAAAGTGGATGCAAAAAAGCGTTTAGCGCGCCATCGCCAAGGTGTGTCTGCCACGGGTGGGGGAAAGGGGACACCGGAGATCGGGGACAGGGTCTGGGCCAACATCGGCGTCAGGGGGGTCGAGGCACGTTTGGAAGCTGTGCCACATTATGTAGCACAGCACATGCCAGCACGATGTTGCACACCTTTTTCAGGAGTAAACAATAACCTCCCTCCAGTGCAGTCGAGGCAGCGCCATCTCCCCTTAAACAGGCCGATGGTGCGCTGCACTACAGCGCCAATCCTTCCATGTGCCACATCATCTTAGAGCGCAAGATCAGCCATTTTGCGTCATTACGCATTGTGATGGCATCATGGCATTTTATTACCGTCCATTTGATTGCATCTGACAAGCAACAGCTGTGTTTTGAGGACGCATTGCATAACATGCCAATATTATTGCAGAACATATTTCACTTTCGTTTTTGAAAATGTGTTAATTCGTATTTCTGTTTGTTTTACGCTGCAGATCGATCAAACGGGTGTTTTTGTTATTTATTTATTGGCATTTCATTTACACAAAAGTCTAGTTTTACACACTTTCAAAGACGTTTGCCTTTTATAAATACCAATTATTGCGTAGAGAGCGGCGTACGCCTTCTTTTGTGCGTACGCAACGTTTATAAATGAGGCCCCAGGTCCCTGCAACATTTTCAGAAGAAAGGGAATTTCAGAGAAGGAGATAGAAGAGATATATCTAGGATGACAAACCGATTCAACAGGTTGAAAAGATAAAGAAGATAGTAGCCACAGTCTACAGTGTAAAATGAACCACTACATCCCCTGCCGTGTAAGACTAAAGACAATGGGATTAAGGATTAGCTTTGCTCCCGCAAAGATGGATGAACTATTATTTATTATTATTAAAAAATGTAAGCTGCATGCGTGCACTACCTTTATACCTTCGGTAGCTTGCGTAGCATCACATAGCATGCTAATGCTAGGTAACGATGTGCTAACATAGCTCCACGGGTTTTTAGGTTTAACTGTAATCTTTCAGAAACTAATGTCTGCTTCTAGCCTCTCAGTATCATGACATTTTAACCACGACGACTTCCAAATCAGCATAAACATGAAGTGATCGTTTCTCTAGTAAACATTCTTTGTTTTAATAATGGTGGTATTGTGCTATGAAAACGGAAATGTGAGACTTCGGAAAGGATGCAGTTAGCAGACCAATCGACGCCTATAAAAATGGGTCGACGCACGCAAGGAGGTGTGAAAAGACACGCAAGGGGCTCTTGCGTCTGCGTGTCCTTGCGTCTCTCTGAAAACGCAGAAGCATAAACTGGACTTAATTCAGGCCATCAACAGAGCAGCGCAGTGATGTCGAGTAAACACCCGGGAATACCTACCCCAATTCCACTTGTTGTAGAGTTTTCAATAAATAACAGGTAGCCCTCTGAATATTAGCAGGCACTAAGGTTTACAACAGGACTATAATCCACTATGGACTGCTAGCTGAACACTCAATGACAATGGACCAGCCTGTCTGGTTGGTTGAACAGCATCCTTTTCTTCCCCCACACAGCACACTCACCCACTTCTAGATGCTTTTCTTCCTGAAAGCTAATTGAATCAGGTGCGTAGAAGTTGAAACAGAACAAGCATAGTTATCTAAGGAGGGATTTATCCCCAAAGGGTGCCTTATTTCCTGTCAGAAGTAGAAGAACCAACGATCAGTCTAACAACCGTCTCATTGCAGTGTTTTTCTACGATTCATTTCCTTCCAAACCACATACACGCATTTAAAACACAGACAATTTGTAGGGGAGAAACCAGCCATGCCGAGTGGAAAAAAAACACTCAACCCCTCTTTGCCAGAATATTTAAAAGCAAATCATTACACGCTTCAGGGCTTCTTCTTGGTTAATTGCCAATTCTGAATTGTAGAGTTTGAGAGGAAATTCAGTCTTCAACTTCCAAGTAAAGAAATGTTGTACCTCTGTTGGATTTCTGAGCCGTGACGCCCAAAGACTTCGCGGTGCAAGTTTGAGGCGCTTGCTCAACAAACCCACTTCAGGCCTTGTTCGGTTCATGTTTATTGACTGGGAAAACACACACACATACACACACACACACATACACACACACATATTCTTACAGCCCGCCTATCGTTAATGTATGACCAAACGGCAGGTCCGCTGACCGACTGCACACTGAGCCTGCTTTGATCCGACCCGCTGTAAACACTGAGCGCTGGCCTTAGCCGGGTGCTTGGGCCAGGGGTTATCAGCACACACCCACACACCCTCACAGCGAGGAGCGATAAAGTCTTCAGTTAGGCGGTTGGAGAGACGCCTTATCTGTCTCCGGCGGCCAAACATGCGGCTAGCTGTCAGTGACCTGAAGCCAGGTAAACAGACCTGTAGCTGATAACAGATGTAAGGGACTGCAGGAGGATCCGAATGTAGACAAGAGCGTAGCCACGGGGCAAACTGGAGAGCGCTAGTCCCCGAGGTCACAGGGGTGGCACTTCATTACTGCTCAACTTTGCCTCCCTGCACGATCAGCTGTGATCAGGGTCATAGGGCTTTTGTGGGCTGATGTTGTCAGTGTGTTGACCTTCGCTCAGGCAGCTGGGCTGCTGTTGGTGTTCTTCAGACACCTCAATGCTTCAACAGTTGAGGCAATGAGGTGTCTAAAAAAATACAGATGTCTCAGGCTGGGCTCTCAAGCGGGCGGCTTGCCAGATGTTGGTTTCTACACGTAATAAGTATGGTGTGCTACCAAAGTGAGGAGTCACAGGTAGTGAGACTGATTACGGACCTGCAACGTGTACATTGAGGTTTTACAGTACTTGAAAACCTCTTTTTGATCACGGTAAACAAGACAGAGAACAATAAAAGTCCAAAGTGCTACACAAGGTAGGTTTTACCACTGATCCTAAATATGACGTCTCGGTCAGGGAAATATGCAACATCACGAAACGCTTGTACACTGAAGGTAAAGGAGCAGTTAATAAAAGTCCATAAAAGTAGGACCTGTGTGCAACCTGCCGCCCTCGAGTAGCTGCCGGCTATTTCTGTTTAGCTGACGCATTAGCTGTCAAAGAGAGAAGGAGATGCCTGATAATTCTGTCGGCGTCATCCATTATTTTACCAGCTACCGCTCCAGTAGAAAAATTTGGAGGAACAGGTTGAACCTCCAGTGAACCACAAAACCTTTGTTTGCTCTTCAGTCACGTCTTCACCTTCTCTTTGTCATGCATGGACACTTGTGTTCCATTTGCGTGTCTGCTCTGTTCAATCGTAGCCCTCTGTTCATCTTTGTCACATGCTTGTCATTCCTTCTGAGAATCTCTCACAGGGGAACACGGCTGCCTGATCGGTGTCACTGATGACAAAATGAGTAAAATACTAATGATAAACATGTCAAATGTGGCCCTCCACACCAGCACACGCATGTGACTGAATTCTGTTACAGTCCATTTCTTTTGGTTTCGGTGTGCTTGTCACACTTTGAGTGTACAATGGCAGCCACCCTTCAGGTAATCCTCCGCTTGATGGGATGGATCTGACAGTGAAGTCCATTTACAGTTGGAGCCTTGACAGGTCTATTATGACCAATTACGATACACACAAAGTGGCCCTTTCTCATCGCGCAGAGGTCAGGCCTCCTCTTTCACTCATCTCTGTGAAGTAGAGTGACTGTCTGGTATGCAGAAGATGCCCCATTAACTGTCATTGCTGGGGACAATTACCTAGTCTGACCTGGCAAAAGATTAGAGGGGCCTGCAGGTACGGAGGAGCCTTTCTGATTGGCTGACTGGCTTCCTGGCTAAAGAGGAAAAATTCCTTGTAGTGACTTTCTCCTGGAACTTTCCCTTTCATTTTTCTCTCAGTCCCATCAATTTCTACTTTTTGCTGTATGTTAAATTATAGATGCTGTGTCAGCACTCCGTCACCTCATTGTGATTGTTCTCTCCGACACCCCTTTGCTTGTAATGTCGTGCAGCCTATCAGTCTGGGTTGTCTGCATGTCTGACATGCTCCGTGAGATGCTATCTTCTCAAGTGGCTGCTCCCTGTAACTCTGTCACTGTTTGAGGATGGCTGACGACGGTTTTGTACCAGCAGCTGAGCCCATTTTTCCTGTCACCTTTGACAAAACTTGTTTTCTAGAACCGTGACCTTTGTTGACTTTGATCACCACAGACATGCAGGTTTGTTGATCTGTTTGACAGCGTTTGGGCGGACTGGAGTTTTCTCTGTTTGCCAGTGTTGAAAAACGATACGAAACAAATGAAGCCTGTTTGCAAACTACCGCTCCAGATAATGGCATTGTAGAAAACTGGTTGGACCTGCGGGAAACCAAACATGGAGCAAATATCTGGGATTAGTGAGCAGAACGCCTCTGGGGTGGTCCAAGGATGCTTCCAGGCATATTGGCAGAAAGTGTACTGCCAGCAGAAACCGTAAATATATTCATTAAAACCCACGGCTTGAAAGCTAAACTGCACATTATCGTGCTTTCCTCCTTCAATCAAGGTCAGACCACGGTGCTGATTCCACAAACGCAAATGTCCCTCAAAAAGAACTTTGTTGTTAATGAATGGAAACAATAAAATTGTTGCCATATACTATGTTGATATTCACTGATCAGATTTGTCATATTTGAATCAACATTGTCTGATAGTAATGTACAAACGTAAAGATGCATTTTATTATATAGATATGTTTTAAATGGCGCTAACCCCCCAACTATGTACACCGACCTTTTTCCAGGTCCAGGACATGTGTTTCAGCCCGGACAGTCGATGGGTAGCCATCAGCACGCTGCGCGGCACCACCCACGTCTTCCCCGTCAACCCCTATGGCGGGGCGCCCTGCGCCCGCACGCACATGTCCCCACGCGTGGTCAACCGGATGTCTCGCTTCCAGAAGAGCGCCGGCCTGGAGGAGATCGAGCAGGAGCTCAATCGGGTGGCCGCGTTAGGAGGAGCAGGAGCAGGGGGAGGAGGTGGCTGCATCCTGGGTGGAGGAGGTGGCCGCTGTAGCCCCATACAAGGCCTGTCCAGCAGCCCCTCGGGGTCTCCACTGCACGGTGAGGAGGAGGGAGGAGCTTGCTGATGTTTCCTGTTTGCGTGTTACGGCTGGCGTCTTGGTCGGCTCTTAGTGCAGAGCAGCGTGCGGGAGGAGATGTAGACTTCACAGGGTCATCTTATGAAGATTGTGTTGGAAAACCTTAATAAACAACGCTGCTGTGGTTTTAAACCCCCAAAATAATTGTGATCAATATTCGTGATAGGATCGGAGAATGGTTGTTGGTTTGATAAATGGGGTTGATTCTTTGAAATTATTGTTGATTGATTGATTTACCTGACCCATTAATCCACTACTTCTTTCACCACAGATCATCTGACTCAAATACAAGTTGTATTGAAGTGCCCTTTTGAATTGAATAGCCTTGATTAATTTTGCCCACTAGGGATATAACTCAGTAACCATATCCTTGATTATTAAGACGTCCACACAAAGCTTGAGCATTCATGTATATTCCTGTTTCCGGAAAAATCTCTTCTTTCTATCTTTAAGATGTCTATAGCAGATGTTGGAGGTTGGCGATGTGCTGTAAAACCAAAACTACATGCTCAACTAGAAACGTGCACTCTGTAGAATGTAGATCTCATTCCAGGTGTGTCAGCAACCACTGCTGTGTGTGTGTGTGTGTGTGTGTTTTTCCAGGGACTGCTCATCTCAGTAGCTCTGTTCCAGGGACTGTGATCGCTCGGCCACAACCTCGTCCACCTTGTTTGTCAAACAGCAGCGCGAGCTGCTCACACCATCGCTGTGTCCCTGGTTGACATAGATACACACCGATGAACACACACACTTTCTGTCGACTGCACTGCTCGACCCCAGAGGTGTTGCTCAGGGTGAAATATTGCAGTTGTCATTCGTCATGGATTTCCAAGAATAGCCCTGAGCTTTGATAGATGAACTGGGTAAACACTTCAGAGAACCCAAACGACTGGGAACTCTCCCCGCTATCTCATGAAAGCATGTGTTTTACAACGTTGTTTAAAAGCCCGCGGCACTACGTGCTTTTCACATTTAACCCGACAGAATGCTTTCACAATGTAGGAGGAAATTACATGTGCAGATTTTGGAGAAAGACGAATGTAACGTCTCATTGTGATGCAGAGAACATGAAACGGGAAGCACTTCTCTGCTGGTTATATTTTTGGTAACGAGTTTATTCTCAGGAGAGTGTAACCTGAAGAGTGCAAAACAAAATGAATGGTTATTAATAATGATGCTGCTCTCTCGGCGGATCTGTTCTGGTCAGTAGGGACACTTGTATAATTTTTAGTGAGTGCGTGAGTCATCGAGGCCCAATGTGTTCCGGGAGGCCGACACGCGCAAACCACCACATAGTACATTTCCAGTTGTTACGTGTATATTTGTGTCTTTCTGTCGGTCCCGACAACAGCGTTGCAACCCTACAAGACGGAATGTCTTCCTTGCCACCTACTTGATTGAAGTGAAGGATGAACATGAAATTGGGGAAATGATTACTGAAGGTTTGTCAGGATTTTGTTGGATTAGCGGGATATCAATGAGCCTCAATTAATTCCCCCGATGAGAGACACACAATGTCCTCTGGTTATTTCTGACACATCAAAACATACATGACCTTGTTTCTAAAAATGACACTGTCACAGGAAACGTATGCATATTGCTTATCCCTCGTTCTTCTTCAGGCCTTAAAGGCCGGAATAGGTGACAGAGTAAGTCATGTTATACCCCCCCCCCTCTCCCGTAGAACTCTCACTACAACCCCCCTGCCACGTACACACACTCGCTTGAAAGATGGCGCCCTTGCTTCCTCTCCCCATCCTGTCTCCCTTGTCTAGACCCGGACCCCTCCGTAACCCCCGACACTAACACACACACACACACACACACACACACACACACACATTCCTCCACGCTGTGAAAAATAGGCAACATTAAAAGAATGTCTGACTTGGGAGAGTCAGTGCTCGGCTGCGATGACGGACAGAGACGGACAGAAACATCAAAGTGGGGTAGGAGGTGAAAGTGAGTGAGCAAAGTAATGAGGTACGATTGAGAGAAAACGAAGGAGAGATAGAGCGGGGAGGGGGACAATAAAGGCGGCAGGCAGACAGAGGGAGAGAAAGATAAGTCTGTAGTAGCTGCAGCGCTGAAAGCCCAGGTCTCGGGGAGCATGGTCGTAAATCACACTTTTGTTTCAAAGGAGAGCATTAGGGCCACCTGTCAACAATTAGTCCTCACAGTGATACCTTATTGAGTGTGTGTGCGCGTACTTCTGAGGAAGATAAACTATCTACACAACCAATCTTTTTCTTCATGGTGAAATAGAAAAATGAAAGTTTCAGTGAACTTGTTCAGCTTTTAAGAGGGAAATTGGAGGTTGTCATAACTCTAATATTTTATCCGTTATAACATAATCCACAGGAAATTGAAGTCAGATTTCCCACTGCTTTTGTCGAGGTGTTAATACACACCATACATACTCTAGCTCCCTCTCTGATAAAAAAACAACAACCTTGTGTAGTTAAAGGGTTACGGCCTCATGCACACAGTAGTGTCACACACTCAATGTGACTTTATTTGGTTCAGTGACGCCTCACATGTTTCTGAAAGCACCTGCAGCTTTTGCCCACACTGCAGTGCTAGAAACAAGCAGACCAGCTTAAAGCCCCCTCCCACCTCTCCCCCCACGCATGCACACTACAGTATTTACGAGACTTATGTCTGCTGGTTCACCACTTCCCTCCTAGGGAGGCATTTTGAGGCTGATACATATTTAAAAATCCTTCAACAATATATTGGCAAATGAAACATGAAGCTTGATTGGAAAGCAAATTTTAAATCAATTTGATGAAATTGCACTTTTTTGTTTCTTGTTCTTCTGGGTTTTCATCCTTATGGTTCAAATGCACTTATTGTAAGTCGCTTTGGATAAAAGCGTCAGCTAAATCACATGTAATATCAAACTGATAAAATCTCAAAAGCAATTGTGCGTGAGGACCTAATGCAACGGTAATTAAAATGAAATGTAAAAAGATTTGTATGTAGTGGTCAGCAGCAGAGATTATGGGCCCTGCACTGTGACTTAGTGTACTGTGCATGTTTGGGTGTTTCTGGAACGCTGAAGACTTTTCACTTTTCTCGCACTAAAAGGGGATGATCCCCCTTCAAGGTGTGAAGCGTAAAGCTTCTATCGCAGGTCATCATCAGTTCAGCGTGAGAGCCCTGTGCGGCGAGGTCATGCAGGTCTCCTTGTCTGTCATTCTAAGGATGTCAGTTACCAGATCCTGCCACATGTAAATTTAGAAATCCAGACCCCCCCCCCATCACCACCACTACTGCTGCCACCAGCGTTGATTAAAAAAACGTCATCATTGAGGCCATTTTCACCACAAATGATAACACATGGAGTCACAGTCGCTTTTGTGTCCATCGGTGTCCGCCAGCTGGGTGTGAAGGTTTGTGCAGGGAAGGTGTTTTTTTTCTCGTTTTTTCTTCTTCTACGCTGGCAGAAAGCGGCGGGGCGAGGCTGGTCGAGGTCGGGCCACCTAGCCACAACAGCTGCACAGTGATTGTCGCCAGCGAGGACGCCGTTGATTTTTGGGAAGGAACTGTAGAAAAGTACACATCCGTCTCAAAGCTGCCAGCCCGGGCCTAAAAATAGAGGCTGCAATTGGCTGCCGTCTTTGTCAGTGTTACGATCTGGAACGGCTATTTAGGTCCGTGCAGGTCTCTACGGTTACTTTGCACCCACCCCACCCCACCCCACCCCTCCCCTCCCCCCACACGAAGCTTTTCCCCTCTGCGTTGACGCCTTGTCAGTGGGGCTGACGGCCTGTCGTGTGAGCGTCCTGCGCTGTGAGGCGAGGCCCGTGTGAAGCCTGCAGCGTGAAAGGCTGGCTCGGTCAGTGGCGTTTCTGGACACAGGGCAGAGGTTAGCGAGGCTTCTACTATTCACATACAACCGCAGCCTGCCGAAGAAAGCAGCAGGTTTTCATGGTTCCTAAAGATGGATCATAATTATATTCTCATTTGATCCCCGTTCATGTTTCTTTGTGAAGGGGCCTTACTTTGCCCTCTAAATGTTCCGTTGCATTCTCATGACAGTTATGACTCGCCGTGCATTTTTCCAACAGGCTCTGGTGCCTTTCGTGTGTACACACACGGCCCGGTCATACACTCCCCGACCATAAAACATCAACAAGAGGCTATTAGTCACTGCAAGATTTGTGCAGATTTGTTTCCTCAGCGAGCAGAAGCCCCGGTGGTCCGATCACTGGGCCATCTGGGTCCTGGCGCTGCTTCAGAGGCACAGAAAAAAACAAGGTGTGACGGGAAACTGTTAATTCACTTGTTGATAAAGGGACACTTCCTTTCAGCTATTAGAGGCTGACGGCTTGCTTATTTGGGTTTGGACTTGTGTTTTAACTTCCCCCCCCCCCCCCGCCCTTCTTCGTCACTCACCGTCCCGGGGTGAAAAACACCGACTCCCTGCCGAGGTCGATGCCAAGGAAACATGACCTCATCCCTGCTGGCGTGTGACACGTTTGCACGCAACCTCGGCGTGACCCTGATTTAAACAGCGTAGGGACTGAAAGTGACTGAGTACAGCAACGTGTCTGCCTCACACAGACAGGACTCCAGTGAGCCTGTATTCTTTTCAACAGGGAGAGAGATGACTGGTCCAGATGTCAGTCACGATGAGCTTCCCCTTCGGATAGACGGAGCCCGCCAGCATCCGTAAAGCCACATCGAGCCCACCTGCTCATCAAGCTTTTTTCATTCATTCCACTCTTCCTCCTGCATCCTGCCGTGGTTGCGATGACGTCGGTGCTCTCTGGCTTCTCACCTACGTAGCCACAACATGCTCAGCGCTGGCCGCGCCCGCAACGGACTTAACCCCCCCCCCCAACCTAAAATTGGAGTGGGTGAAAGAGTCAAACAATCAAATTTAGGAGGATCGCATGATGCAACGGAAAGCCGCTATTGGCTACGAAACAAACCGTGTGGTGAGAAGGTTCCCTC